AAATATCAATAAAGACCCCCCCCCCCCCGACACAGATGTTTATATATATAGAACAGAGAGCTAGCCAGGATGAGTGGAGCTCTGATTATGCTGGAACAGAAGGGAGAAGCCCTAAATGCAGGGACCCAAAGAGGAGTAAGAGGAAAGCCCAGTTCAATCCTGTGATAATCAGAGGAAGTAACCCAGGAAACTGGAATGAATCTGCCCACCACCGGGCAAACTTCCAGGAGAGGAAGAAACCTACAGTTGCACACTGGCTAAGTCTTGGGAAACAGTCCTACAGTTCTGGTGAGTGTTAACCTGCTCCCCTCTGTCTGGTTTTGGAGCCCAGGGAGAGTGACCCCGACACAGGAGTGTCAGTCACCTTTCCGTGCCTCACTCACCCCATCCAGGAGCGGATTCTTGCCCGGGGCGAGTACTCTTTGGCTTTCCCTCCAAACCGGACCAATGAGGGACCACAAGGACATTCCCTAGAAAGCCCAAAGAAGAAAAGTCCATGAAAAGATTTTCTTTCCTTTGAAAAATATGCTGCTGCAGTTTCTCAATAATATACATTTTCTGTATGCATTTTATATACTATCACATTTACAAAGAAAAGTAACTGCCAAATTCAAAGAAATATCCCTATTCGTTAAAAATGTTGCCCTTTATTTCTGGATCAGGTATGTTCTCCTCCCTCCACTTCCTTCCAAATATCTGCACTGCTCTTTGCGGGAAGCCAGAAGCAGGGCCTTTCCATTTGGTGCGAGGACACAGGCATATTCTGACGGAAAAAAGAAGGGTGAAGCATTGGGCATCACACTTCTCTTTTGCATAATAGAGCAGAGCTTGTTTTTGTTTTTCTTCAGATGAACATAAGAAAATCCTATACTCTTCTTGGGCTTGGAACCAATAAATGGCCTTCATGAAGAAAGAAAATGCTGGATGAATCCCTAGGAACTCATGTAATTAGCGTCAGATGAACTCCTTAAGGAAGTAACGGCACATAGGCGGAAGGGTAGTGAGGTTCTGGCTAGAGAATCTACTCACTCTCTGCAGAGCCTTGGCAAGGACATCCTCAGTGCCAGCAGCCGACTCCCAGGCATAGGGTGTTAGGAGTGGTAGCATCATGCAAGACCCTCTAAGCCCTGCACTGGCAGAGCTCACGGTCAGCCTTCTCCACAGAAAAAGGCCTATATGCTAAGACATTTTGAGATGTTAGGCCTGCTGGGGACTCAGTAAATGTTGAATGAGCACCTCCCTAGGGCCAGAAAACAATGCAGTGTCCCCTGTCCCACATGCTCTGCTTCAATGGACTCACACTCCTCCCGTTGAGAGGTGGGGGTCTCTGACTCCTCCCCTTGAATCTGGGCAGGCTGGTGATGCTCTGGGGCTTCTGAGGCTAGGTCATCAAAGCAGATGGGGCTTCCATTGGGAGCTTTTGGGAACTCCAGCTCAGGGAACCCAGCCACCACAGCGTGAGGAGCCAAAGCAGCCGCATTTAGAGGCTGTGGGTAGGTGTTGTGGCCGACAGCTGGTGTCACTCACCAGAGAAGTAAATGGGGCCATCAGAGTACTCCAGCCCATGACTGTCAAGCCAACCCTGACCACTGAGTGTTGGCAGGTGAGGTCCCAGACACCGGGGAGCAGAAATGTGCTGTCCCTACTCCTCCTTTTCTGCACCCAGGACCCGCTGAATCCAAGAGCATAATGACATGGCTGCTGTTTTACACGGCTGCATGGCGGGTGTGTGTGTGTGTGTGTGTGTCTGCCACACAACAGTCACTGGAACAGGCCTGCTACCTAAAATAATTTATTAAAATGACACGTCTGAATAAATGTTAAAACTCCAGAAAGTGGATATAAAATAAGAAAGATGCTGGAAGGACTTCTTTAAGATCTCAAACATACTCACGCAGCATGGAGGGCTTCCCACTTCAAGATCTCCTTCCAGGCCTGCTCATTATTCTGGTTGTGGATTCTAATGATATTATACATGTCCTTCTGGCTGATGTCGTCATCCTTCCACTTCCACCTGGGAAACAACAGTTATATCTGACCAGCCTCCTGCTATCTACACAGACACACACGCCCTGCTGGTCTGTCTCTGCAGAATCCTGGCTAATGCGCCAGCCTTGCGCTATCTTCTGAGAAGTCTGAAAATTACTCTAAACAAATTTACTTTTTAAATAAAAACTTAATGTTTGGGGGACAAAGACCTCTTTCACATTTATTCTTAGATGAATGTGACAAGCAAATGTATGTTCTCAGTAGGATGCTCCCTCACTTACCCTTTCTTTAACATCGCGTTCCAGAACATCTGCTCAGAAGGATACACCCACTTTTTTTCTGAATCTGCTCTCGGAATGGATGATTCCTCCCTCACAGTAGAGAGTGCAAATGGCTGATCAGGGGCCGGTGTCTGATTAGGTGGTGGCATCTGAATAAAACAAACAAAATATTTTTTAAATATTGGAAATATGGTAGAAAGTAGAAATAAGCACTGTAATTAACTACTTTCTGGAAAGCAACACTCACACACATGACCCAGGTTCTCTATTCCACCACTGCACCAAATCTTCAGACCACTCACATAATTTTCCTTGCTCAAGTTCTCACTGTGGGTATATTTTCGGTCTCTTTCTCCTTGAGGATTAAGAAGTAAAAACGAATACCAGGATCTGTAGGCTTTTCTAAAAACCTTTCTATGGCGGGCTTTACAAAAATGGCTGTTCACTCTTCTGAGGAAAAGTCTGATAGACTATATGGCACCACTTCCTGTTAAAAAATTCTTTACTTTTAGCATGTTGCTTCTACAATGAGTACATCACAGATGAGTACTGACATCCGCACACTGGGAGACTGGAGGGAAAGGATGCTTCCTCTCAGACAGAGGGGCAGCAACACCGTTATGCAACCACTCAGCCTCGACCAGGGATTCTCACTCTTAGCACTACTGCTGTTTGGGGCTGGACAACACAACATTTGGTTACTGGGCTGTGTTCTGAGCACTGTAGGGTACTTGGCAACATCCCTGACCTCTACCCAACAGTACCCCTCTTCCCCAGTTGTGACAACCAATGTCCCCCGGGGGCAGAATTACCCTAGGTTAAGAACCACTGGCCTAGAACTACTTTTTGTAGTCAAAGTATGAAGGAATTTCTAGCAGGTGCACGTGAATTATTAAGTCACAATACAGCCCTAGTTAGGAAGATGGCAGGAGAAAAGCTGGGAGTACTGGCACCACACTGAGCATCTTACCTGCGTTTCACCACGGCGACTCTAAGAACCCAGGTCAGAGGCAGATGGGGACTGTTTGGGCTCTACTGCTTCCTAGGTGAGTGATGTGGGGCACACTGCTTCCTCTCTCTCAGGGTTGTCAGCTCTAAAACGGTGACCCCAAGACTACTGGCCACATAGAGTTATTATGAGGCTTACAGGAGAAAGTGTGTGGTGCTCAGCATACTCCAAAAGATGTGAGCAAAAGAAAGGTTCGCTGTTACTACATGTAGGAATCCCACGGGGTAAAAGTTGAGGTCTGCAGGATTCCAAAGGCTCATGTTCTGAACCACTAGAGTATTTGAAATGATCTAGACCAGTGGTCCAACGGGGTTGCTTTTAGAAATGCCTGGAGATACTTTGGGTTGTTACGACTGAGAAAAAGAGGCTCCTATGGGCACCAAGTGCATGGTGACCAGGGATGCTGCTAAACGTCCCACAGTGTACAGAGCAGCCCCCACCACAAGGAATCATCCATCTCCAAGGGCACTAGTGGCAAGGGGGAGAAACCTGGTCTCGTCCACGTTCTGCCCAACACAGCAGTCTCCTTACAGCTTGGCAGGGTCATTACTGAGTGCCACAGACATTCGTTCACACCCCACCCCCCAAATTCACTGAATCTGCCGGCACCTTGATCTTGGATTTCCCAGGCTCTAGAACTGTGAGAAATAAATATCTGTTGTTTATAAGCCACCCAGTCTATGGCACTGTTATATATGCTGTGTTAAAATATGTATTGTTTTATATACATCACCCACACTCTTTCTTTTCCAGACAAAATATTTCTAGCTCCCTCAAATGTTACCTGGTTTGTGAAGATTTCTAGTACTTTTGATAATCCTGTGCCTTCTGAAGGACAGGCCCAAGTCTGTCTGTCTCTCCATTAAAATGTGATTGCAAACATGAAACCTCGATTCCCTATGTTGTCTGACTATCACAAAATGAAGTGAGGCCATGCTTGTCTGGTCCTTGCTTTCTCGATGGCATACCACTGCTGGCTGCCACATGACGCCATGCCACCCCAGTGACTCACATGGAGGCTGGCACCCAGCTGCACCCGAAAAGGCCCCCCATCTTGCAGTGTGCCTACAAGGTTCCCCAAGACCAGAAACACCTTTACTAACTCTAGTTGCACTCCTACTGGGACGTCCCACCGACTCTCCCGAAAGGAAATATTTCCTTGGCATGCCTTATTCCCGGTTAACACCCTCTGGCCCTTTTTGACCACTAATTTCTTTCTCAGGCACTCTCTGAACTACACTTAGTAACCCATTCTAGATTTTCACTGTGGATGGACTATCGAATTTCTTTGTTTTAGAAGAACAGAAGAATAAACCCTAGCAGTTTGCAGTTTGACCTGGGATTCCATAAGAGCATCTGCATATAAAGTTCCAGGAAGAGGAGCCGAGTGCACATTACCAGATTAGAAGGATCCAGGTCCTTATTCTTGGTTGTAGCACCCGTAACAGGGCACTCCACATACTCGTAGGCACGGTCTTGGTGGGCAGGCACAGAACTGGTTTTGCTCTCACAGGTTGAGTCAGATGGCTCTGCACTCACTGGACAACCTGAAATAAATCAAATATGAAAATGGTGTCACCACAAAGGCAGGACATCTGGCTCTCTCAATCTTCGTCCTAAAGAGCTAAATTTCTGACCAGCAATGACCACAGGCAAAGCCAGATGTCTACTGTGGAAAGCTGCCAAAATCTAAGCTAGTTAACCCTTTAATATTCTAAAGACCAGGAGAAGTTTTCTATAAATTAACTTTCCCTTCTCTCCTTGTGTTATGCCCCTAGCAA